TAACCTTGGTCAAGTTAATTAATTAGTACATGAGACTCACATTCATCATTGCAAAAAAGATAATGTCTTCTTCACAGTAGGCCTATAGGATTAAATAAGCTTCAGAATTCTATAACTTACAGCCCATGTGTAGCACAATGACTCTTGTACTAATATGAATTATGCATGTGAAATTGTGGCATATATTCTAAAGTGCTATATAAAAGTGGCAATATTAGCATCACTGATATATCATATTAAAGTTGTATCCTCTTAACTGTAAAAAAAACTTCAGACCTAACAATATCATTTGAGAGCCAAAATGAAAAGCCCATGTGAAAAATGTTTAGCATAAAGCAGGCTCTCAATAAATGTTTGTTTAAATCTGTAAATGAAACTCTCAATGAAGCCAGCGAGATTTAGTATACCATCTAGTCCAGACTATTATATTACTGCAATATTTACATATAATAACCTTTCATTCATAAAACCAAATATTCAGTGGTATATTAAAATCATCAATTATTAATGTTTTGAGTCCAAAGGACCTCATACAAAGTTATTAGAGCCAATATCATGTGAATTCCCATTGCAGGATGTTAGTTTTAGTATATATTAAAAAAACATACATGCAAATAATTTATATATGTGTTACTGCTTTCAATATATCTATAAAAATACCTTTTCATATCTGCATATAACATAAAATCTGTTCTAATAATAAATATATTGCAATCTTTATACTGTTAACAAAATTTACAGGTCACTATTTTTCAAAATCTTTAAACAAATGTTTAAGTTTTATAGTCCACTTACTTTTCACTATATATATGTATATATATATATATATATATATATATATATATCACATATATCTATACTTACATACTCACACCTTCATTGGCTTAATCTTTTTTCAGGACTCTTGCCATGTCTCTTGCAGAGCCAAATCTCAAATTTCTAACTGCATCCTCATCATATCTACTCACATATTCCATTATTTCCTCAAAATCAGCATACCTAAAATAAACCTATCTTTCCACAATAAAACCATTTCTTCTTTGATTCTTCCAGTTATGCCAATGAATCCCACAGTTTAAAAACTCAGCCTCTTTTGATCTTTTTTCTCTCTCCTCTCTGGAAAGATATCAAGTAGAATCAACAGCAAAACATTTGGAGTTAACTGGTCCTGGGCTAATCCTGTTTCTTCATCTTACCAGCTGAGTAAACTTGAATGAGTTACTATATCCTTCTGAAGTTAAATTTTCAGGTCTATAAAGATAGACTTCATTTCCCTTAGTTTGAAAGATTTTTCTCAGGCTTAAATATCTGAATATATTTGATTAATAATGAGTGCTATAAGTATTGATAGAGCAAATTCTCTTCTTTCATCACATGTAGTCATCAATACTGCCTACTCTGAAATATCCCCATTGTTACCACCTGTGTGAGCACTTCTCATTTAAATACTCAGATTTTTGGTATTATCTAATTTCATATACATCTGGGGCAATGATCACCAAAAAAAGCCTTCCCAAATTCTGTTCCCATCTGGCATCTAGCTTCCAAAGCACGTATAATACTTTTTATCAATTTGGAATACCAGAACAGTTCACTTCACTCCAGCCCACCTTCCAACACTCTCTTCCATCTTTTTGAATCCTTATGATTACCTTAGGATTCTCTAAAAGTGGCTGATACAAATTCCACACTGCCATCTCACTTTATACACCTGTCTAATCACTCTGTTACCCAATTAGCTCCTTATATTGTACAATTTTCTAACACAAATATTATCTCTAGGACCTCACTTCTTATAAACACTCTCCAATGCTCTTGTTATTCTTTAATAAATGTTTGCTAATACTTCCTTACTCTAAAAGCTGGCTCTCTCAATGGCACTGTTTCTCATATGGTTAATTTAAGAAGTGACTGCTTATTTTTTCTTACCCTAGGATCTCTGAGAGAAGGGAACAGTATTGTCAGTTCTGTGTTTGCTTGTAGACCATAATATGCCACCCTTTTCAAAAAAATGCAACCCCTTTGGAAGACCAAGCTATGAAAACAAACTACTTCTTCCTGCTGACAGTGAACCACTATAGAATAATACCTTGCTACTTCTTCACTAAGTTCTGGTAATAAAGTGGTAAATAAGGTAAATATAACAGAATATAGAGTGGGCTATATTTAGTGTAAAAATATATATATTAAAGTCAAAATAGTATTAGGAGTTTTAAAATTAATTTCAAAAAGTATTAAAGTTAGAAGTATTAATTTCACCTATTTTAATGTGACTAGTCACAAATTTAAAACTGTACCCATGGATTGCCAAGGCAGAGCTTTCATTCTGTAATCTAGTCTTATGTGGAAAAGGTCAGCTGAATGTGAGTTTGGGAATTTAAATTCAACTGTACCCGCCACCTCTCCAATTTGGTAATCTTATTTGATAATTTCTACTCTTCCACCAGATATATCCTATCTTCTATCTATGCTTATTCTATTTCTGAAAAACAAACCTACTTAGTAACTCCTAAGTATATCACATGCATTTGTGCCTTAACTATCCATAATACCCTCTCCTAATACTTCTCACCCAAAATTCTTCAAAATATATGCTCTTTCCCTGTGGCGAGATTGCTTTTTGCTGCTACTCAACAATTGATCGCAGGCCTATCCTCTCTACTCTTCATTTCCCCCCACCCCTAGGAAATGCCTACATGCTTTGGGCTTCATTAATTATCTCTGTGCCAACTCAGGTCATTCTTGTGATTTCAACTACCTTGTCAATCTCTCCACTTATCTGAAGACCTCAGAGATACTTTAAACATATGTCCAAAACCTAACTTATAATCATCCCTCTCAAACCTAGTCAATCTTCCATCCAGTGTCCCCTATATCAATAGTAACACCACCAAATATGCAGCTGCACAAACTAGAACATTAGAAATACATCTGGGTACTTCCTTCTCCCTCATCCACATCTTTTACGAGTCCTGTTAAGCTTCTTAAATATTTTTCTCCATCTCCACTGCTACCTTCTAACAAGTGTTCCTATTTCTACTCCTGTATCTTCAGTAGTCTCCACAGTATAGCCAGAGGTTTTTCATTTTGGCTTGGTTTCTTTGATGATTCTAGTCATCTTCAATGGTTGCCTATTATTCTTAGGCTTTTTGTATCACAGCCTATAAGGCTCTGAAAAGTCTGCTTTAGCTCATCTCTTTTTCCCTCTGACTGCCCTACATTACAGTAATGTTTTTCTTCTTTCAGTTCCCCTAACATAACACATCATGTTTCCTGCTGCCTTAGAATCTGGTGTTTGGTTTCTCTCCACTTGGACCATTCATTGTCCTTCTTTTTATTTATTCACTCCCTAACTTCTCTTGGCCAAAATATCACTTCCTCAGAGAAAGCTCTTTGACTTTCTAGACAGTATCAGGTCATTGTTAATCATTTAGGAAAGGTTTATTATTAATTTTTATTAGTAAGATGTTTAGTAATGCATACCAGGTTCTAGATATGTGGAATGGATAAGTACAACAGATATTTGCCTTCCTGGAATTTAAATCCTAGTGGATATAAAATAGGTAATAAGCACTAAAAATAATAAACTGATTAAATAAATATGTTAGATAAATATGTGGTAATTCGGGGGGGAGGAGGATAAAAGAACAAAGTAAACATGTCAGAAGCAAGAAGTTTCCAGGGTCTAACTTGGTGGCTGGCATATAGTTAGCACTCAAATATTTGTTGAGTGGATGAATGAATAGACAGGCATGTTCAAGTTATGAAGGACCCATAACTACAAAATGAGTAGAGGGACCACTTGGTAAAAGTAACATAGATGTCACAGAAAAAAAAAAAAAGAGGGGGGGGGAGGAAGACTGAAAGTCTTTAGAGATAACGGTTTGAGCCATTCCTGATGTTTTCACTCAGTTCCAGTATGTATGGTCATACCATAGCCACTGTCACCCTGCTCTGCCCGCTGGATAATTCAAGTGGGTCACTTTTATAGCCATAATACCCAATCAGGACACGTAAAGGGTTATGTATGCCACTCCCACCGCCCATCACCACTCATATTCCCAAAACCTCTGCTTCTTTACATGCAGATGTCATTTGTACTGAGGGGCCAATTCCCAGTCCCCTGTTAGGGACAGACTCCTTCCATATACACAGGAGTATAAAAACCCTTGCTTTCTTCTATCACCCTGTAAGGCACTTAAGTCACTGTCTCTCCCAGCCCAGTCATACTGAAATGAGGAACTCTCAGAAATAGGATCTTGAATTTTTCCTCCCTGTCAGTCTCTCTGAACCTTAGACTATCTTCCAGCCAAGATATACAGAGCCTCTTTGTAATTCTGAATGACCTTCAAGATCCTTGATTGCATATAAACTCACCTCAGGCTCCAGCCTCCTTTGATAGAGTTGTTAAGGATTGGAGCTCTGGGAGTCCCTTCAAGCCTCTTTCCCTTTAAGAACCCATATGAGGTTTTGTATACTTTTTCTCAGAAATCTAAAGGCAGTAAACTTCCCCAAGACACAAATAATGGGTGCATAGGTTTGCCTGATATTAAAGTCACTCTTCTCACATACACCTGTCTCCTCAAAATGAGACCCTTCCTCTTCTCAAAACATGCCCCTTTAGGGAGCCCTCCGGCATTCCAACAGAACTGTGTACAACCTCACCATGATTTAGCCTACCCCGAGGATCAGTCCAATAACAGGTGCTTCTCAGGAATGGGGTCCTGTGTCTTTCCTAGGGTAACAGTCCTTGCAGGGCCCATGCTCATTCAGAAGTGTACAAATTCCACCCAAACACCATGCACCAGCAGGACCGAGGTCTCTACCAGCCACTCAGCGGGGTACAAACCTCCCTCGAACTCTGACCCCGAGGTCAAAGCCCCACCACGCAAACACGCAGGGCTGCCACCTCAGTTGTAGGGCCAAGCCCCTGTCCCCTCAGGCCCAGGACTGCGGTGTGCTGCCTCAGTGCTTCCCCCTAGTCAACCGCCCCCACAGACCTGCCTCAGGCGCCGTCTGGCTTCGTTCCGCCATTTTTGTTGTCCCTCAGCCTCTGAACTCACGCGAAAATCGCGGGGCAGGGAAGCCGGCAAGGGGATCAGCGAGCTGACAGGAGCTTCCTCAGTGAGACGCGGCGCGACGGTTCCCAAGGCAACGGGCGGCTGGCGCGCGAGCGGCCGGCGCGTGGCGGGGTACGAGGGGCGGGCCGGGAGGGAGCGTGCGCCGTAAGCCCGCCCCCTCGGCGCGAGCCCGCTCGGAGTCCAGGCACCTGCGGGGCTGGGACTATGCAGAGCTTCTCCTAGGCGTCCTGGCAACTGAGCATGCTCCGCCGCTTCTGTGGCTGCGGATCGGGCTTCCTCAGCCCACAGATCAGGACCGTCCCTCGCGCTTACCCCAGGGCTGTACGGGCTGGCTTTCCTGTGATTGGTGTTCAACTTTGGAGACTTGGGATAGATTTCATGATTTTCTCCCTTTAAGCCCTCCCGGTGTGCCTGGCCCTGGTCGAGGTCCTGGCAACTTATCTTCAACTGAAATGCACTGAGAAGCAAGTTATCTGTGTCTATCTCTCCCCAGACATTCGGGGGCCCTACTCCCGGGCTTCTCGCACCTCTGAAATTGTACCAGCCCTCACCTCGGGGAAGTGTCTCTGATGCTTGTGCATGTCTCAGTGACCTAAGATGTCTTTTCCCTTCTCTGTGGCAAGACACACTCTGACATTACCCATCCAAACCAGCACTGTCCCTCCACAACCAACGTCTTGTCCTGAACACTATGCTCGGGGACACTGGTGCGTTTTTTTATTTCTCGCTTCCTTACTTGACTTGTAAAGTAATGTTCAGGACAAGCTTCTTGGGAAAGAGAGTGCCTGATCTGTAGGAGGATTGGGTATTTGAGGCCATGGGAACCTACGGGCCAAGCAAAGGCTAGTATTTCTGAAGAGCAAGGCGGGAGAATATATTAAGAGGCAAGGGCAAACTCTGGAAAACTTTTGACAGTGGGGTGGGATTCGATCCTTTAAGTGATAAACACCTAATGACAGATTTTTAAGCAGGTCAGGGACCATTCAGCTACTCTGGTGGCTGTGTACATTATTGGCAGGAAAATGAGTCTGTGTCAATAAATAACTAATATAGTGATATGTAGCACTCTTCATCCGATGGTAATTTTAAATGTCAACTAACACGTTTGTATAGAACTGCACAGGGTTTTTTTGTTGTTGTTGTTGTTTTTGTTGTTTTAAATCACTCATTTACTCGGACTAGCTACATTTCTGGTGCTCAATAGCCACAGGTAGCTAGTAAAGACTATTGAACAATGTATGTAGAAAATATTTCCACACTGAAGAAAGTTGATAGGCAGGTGGTAACTGGATAGAGGAGATGGAATACATAGAAAAAATCAATACAGGCAGGGCCAGGGTAAGTTCTCTTGTATACGAGCTCTTCTTCAGAAGCAGTGTGGGAGGAAAAGTAGACTTGAGTCCTGCAGAAGTCCTCAGAGACTTCCCATTTGTTGTGTGAAATGACACATGGGTAGTGGGATGTGATGGGCCTGCACACTACACTCAGAGTGTTCCTGGGAGGTTTGCCTTCCCCAGGGGTGTCCTGTGGTTTCTGTCTCCAAGAGCAGACCACCTACCACACAGCCTTCTTTATAACGAAATATTCTCTGTAGGATTCACTCATCTGCTTTGTAAACACTTATTAAAATGACAACTTCCATGTGCCTTGCACTGAGTTGTATGTCAGATGGAATGAGAAATACACACGTTATAAGCACAGTCTCACATGCACAAACTCATATTGTAACATTGTAAAATTGATATTAATGTCATATCCTGTACAAAAGATGAAACAGATCCAGAGAGTTTGTTCAGGTGACTTACAAAGTCACACAGTTGAACAAACCTTTGTCTTCTGGGTTTCATCCTTTTAACTTGTGCAATGCACTGCCACATTATGTATACATTTTAACTGCATCCATCACCTGAGTTTGTGAATAATGTTCATATGTCTGTCTTTCTGGTTGTGGAGACATATTAAAAATGTGGAAGACAGGCCCTCCCTGGTGGCGCAACCGGTTAAAGCACAGCACTGAGACGCTAAAGCCACTTCCGCATGAGTTCAATTCCCACCTGCCCCGGGGGTGACCACATTGCCCAGCATACCTCTCCTGACCCGCCCGCTGCTCCCCTCAGCAGTATACTTCGTTGATCTGCCTGTTCTGCTCCCCACTCTCTCTGGGGAAGCCTCTCACCGCCCCTGAGCCTCTAGCCTGTACCCCAGTTCTGTATGCACAAATAAATCTTTAAAAAAACATGTGGAAGACAAAATTATAGTGTTTAGGAAAACACACTTGGTTGAAAACTATAAAGAATCACAGAGAAGTGAGAAATTACTATTATAAAATCAGGTACAGTAGGCAATGTGATTAGGTCAGAACATTTGAAAGAACTTTTAGTGCAGCTGGAAAAGTCCAGTTGATTTGTTTGGAGGTCACAAGGATGTTTGCCTTATAAGAATGCAAAGTTATACAATTTTCTATTTTAATTTACAATAAAAATAATTTTTAAAGAAACACATAATTTCAGTTCAGAAGCACACCTTAACTATTTTCTTTATATTTATTTCCTTGGCTGAATTAAGACTACCCATAATTTACTATAGCAATTGCCACCATTTAACAAGTGCTTAGTATGTCCCAAGTATCTTATACACATTCTTATTTTATTCTCACAATAATCCCACCAGACAGGCCCTATCCCAATTTTACTGCCAGGAAACAGAATGCTGTTGGACCATTTTTTTCAAAGTCTATAGGCCATCTGAATGTACCAGCGATTTCTTAGTACAGAAATACCAGGTGCTATTGTTCTGAAAGAAGCAAGGATAAATAAACGCTAGCCAAAGGTAAAGTTTGTCCCATAAATCTGGATTGTCTCCAAGAAATATATCTGCCATTCACCCCACCCCACCCCAAATTGGTGAAATATGATTACTTCTTGAGTAAACTAGTAAGGAAATTAACTGTATAGGGAAATTAGTCCCAAGGATAAAAATCCCCAGAGGTCACCTCTTTTTGAAGCGTCAAGTGTGAAAATCTTTAATTTTTCCATAAAAGAGACTGTAAATAAATGGATTTCAGTCTATTTCTCTCACTCCTTTCTAAGAGCTGCCTACATAAAGAACTTTGTAATTTTACATAGTACTTCATTTGGATGATATTAGCAAGACAGAGCAATTCAAAAATGGGTAGATCTGAACCAATACCCCAGAATCTCAGGTGTCCCCTGGAAATGGGGTCAGAAAATACATTATAACCATATATAAATATTTTAATTGAAATCTTACAGTATATAGAATTTATGAATTCTTATGAACATAGTATACTTAATGCTAATTCATGAGTTTTCTCATTTCATAAAGTATTCTTTGAAAACATTATTTCTGTAACTGCATAATGACCACCTTTGGGATGCATGATACGTAATTAAACCAGTCCCTTCTCAGATATTTAGGGCAATCCAGTCCTTATATTCTGTTATAAATAATATTGCTCTAAACATCCATTTATATAGATCTTTGATTATCATCACTGATCATTTCATTGCTTTGTTTTTCTAGGCATAAGTTTACTGTGTCAGAGGAGATGAACTTTTCAAGGCTCGTGAAACATATTGATAATTTGTCCTCCCAAAACACCTAATCCCTTTATGTTCCCATTAGAAGGGTGTGCAAATACCTGTCACGTGATACCCTTGCCAACATTCTGGCTGTGATATTTATGGGAAAGAATGCTTTACCCAATTAGCAGGGACACATGAATGGATAGAACTTAACCATCTGCCTAGGAGAAATTTGAGAAGTTTGGTTTAAACATGGAAAAGCTGGTTGCATTTATCACAAATGGGGCACCTGTAAACAAAAAACAAAACTGTTTTCAACACTTTATTTTCATTAGAAGATAAGAGTTATGAACTGTAGGCCACATGGCTCTTTCAGATTTGTGATATTAACTAGATATGCTGAGTTCCTCTGGTTTAATGGAAGAACAGATCGAGATCTTTATTTTTCTTCATATACATAATCTGAACTGGTACTTATGGGATATTTGAAAGGAGACTTATCTGAATATGGGAACCTAGTTAATTTTAATGATATCAGGTGGCTTGATTGTTTAAAATGACTAAAGAACTAACATTAAAGACAGAACTAAAGGTCCCTTGCTTTAGTTGCTAAGTCCCTGAGATTCATCAAGATTGGACTCTCTTACTTATGTGACAAAAACTTAAATACCCTGTGCTAAACTATAGGTAATAAAACAAGGCTGTTTCTGGTTTGTTCAAGGAAGTAAAGACTTTTAGATTAACCAACAGGTTGAACTTCATTTTATAATGCTCAAAAGAGTAACAAATTTTAAAGTAATGGAGTTAACTTAATTTTATATGTGATAGTGAGTGAATCAAAAGGTAGAAATGGAATAAACACAGTAGAGATTCACAGATTATGATGACTTGAACCTAAATTTCTAGAGTTACTACGGAAATGTAAATTTTAGCATATCTCCAAATTAATAAGTATCTTATATAATTTTAAGAGGAAGTTATTGATATGGAAATTAACTAGGCCCAGTAAAAGAATCACAGTATCCCTAAAACTATTCAAGTACATAAATTTCAGAACAGAACGATCTGAAAATTTATGACTATGTAGAAAAACAATAGGCCATGACTTTTTCGATAACACTTACAAAAATAATGCTGAATATCATAGTGCAAATAACCTGGACTTCCTTCCAGTAGAGTTTCCAGTGATATGCAAAGTTAAAAATAATCATTACAGAAGAGTCCTCTTCTTTAAAATTCTCTGTGTGTGCCTTGTTCACCTTCCCTGCACAATCACTTTCCAACTGAGAGCTGGCGGAGACCCAAGTCAGCTACCCCTCAGGACATTTAATAAAATCCATAATTATAAATCAGCTTCCAATGAGATTAAACACAGATTCTATATAGGGAGTTTATCTCACATAGCTATATTTAACAATATCCATTAAATGCTATTGTTGCTATGTGTGCCTTAGCAGATCTTTTAGATAGTGGTTCCCTCAGATACCTGCCCCCATTAAACTGATGCAAA